GATAAGATCCTAAAACTCCTGGTGGGGGAACAACCAAAACGGATGATTAATATAACCATTAAAACCAATTGTTAAAATTTTTATTGATTCAAATACCTCGAAAAGAGAAATGTTTTTGTCTGGTGCCAGAAAAAAAAGTAATGTTTATTTATTTATTTTACATTTATATCTGGCCTTTTACCTTTTCAAGGAACTCAAGGCAACTTGCATAAAATTAATGCTGTTGTATGCTATTCTGTTCTATACTCTCCATTTATGCCACCTAAATAATGTTTGGATCATATATTCCATTTATACCAACCCTTCTGTTGTAGGAGTGATAATGATGTTGTATGTTATTATTTAAATGAAATCAATATGGACAAAGTTATAGTAGTTATGTTACCACATTGGTTAGAGATATGATTATATATTTACTAACTGAATATGGGTATTCGATACTTACGGTGTATGATCTCTGTGTGTGCATTAAGCCAGACCATAATACCTCTAATAGTATTCTGCTGCTACCTTTCTTTTCTGTTATCGTTCTCTAAGCAAACAGTCATGTGTCAAAAAGTATGGCTATCCAATCTAATTGTGCAGGTTCATGTTGCCACAAATACGACCCCAAGAGTGCAGGGAGACACATTCTCTACAAAGGGACAGGAAACTACTTATCTGGCTTCCAGCACCATCAGCTGGTAAAAATACATGCAAGCATTTCTATTTGGATGAGAAAATGAGAAGTATCATATCAGAGCTTTCACCAAAACATGAGTTTGGAGAGAAAAAGGTTGGTTGAAGCTCATATTTCCTTTAGCAGTTTTTCACATTGCCATAGAAATTGTGTTTTGCATTTTGAACAGCCTAAGGTTTTACAGAAGGGATAGAATTAAGCTGAACTGTGTATAAACCCAGTGCCACTACACTTAATTGATGATCAGATGCCCACTTGTAAAGGGAATTGATCATTTGGCTTTGTACATGTATGTCTCTTGTTAACTGTACACAGATTGCTCTCTGCTGGTTGAGCTGGTTATTATGATTCATATTCTTTTGTAGCCCACTTAACATTTCTAATCCCAGTCTTATGAAAACAGCATTTCAGAAGTTAAGTTTCTGATTGTGTTGATATATTTATAGTCAATGATACATTCTTATGGTTTGTGGAAAGGATGAAGAAGCCAAACTATATTTTAAGAAAAAAGTGGTTATTTTATTAACAGAGGGAAAGGCAAATTGATGAGAGTGAAATTCACATTGCTAATTTAAAGGATTTTGAAATAACAGCTTTCTACCTACTCACATGGAGGCAATAAAAACTGCAGAACACACAAATTTTCAAGCTTCAGATGCTGTCAAAAGGGCAAACAGGGATGTAACTACAGTTTAATGAACAATAGTTAACACTAGTATTAGATTAGCATATTACAGCTGAGCATCAGTAGGCCTGGAAAAAAAGACTGAATAGTTACCACTAACATGTTAGATCATTCACTGTACAAACTTAAAGCATCTCAAAAACAGTGTTACTAAATTTGTTCCTCTACCTATTCTTGCCACCTCAAGATTCTTGCCTGCTTTCCCTGTCCAAACTTTTTTTTCCTACAAATGTATTTCCCAAGTGATACTTTGAACAAGAAATCTTCCTGAAACATAATTGATCCTATTACTTTCTTACTACATGATATATACAGATGGTTTTTAAGTAAATAAAGGTAAGAGTGGATGATCAGTGGGTATGCTTTATGACATCACTCTCTGAACAAATCTCAGCCCTGTCTCTGTTAATTTTCAGGTTTTGCATTCTGCCATTTTCTCCTGCTCAGATATTTGATGCAGGGTTCCAGCTGCCTTTCATTTTCTTCCAGATATAGGAGACCTCTGAATAAAATTGTGCAGACTTGTATCCAAACTTGTATATTTTGTAGTGTCTCCTCACAACTGTGGCCTGGAGCTGAGAAAGCCTTTTGAAACTGAGCTCATGGAAGGTTAAGGCCATAATTGAAAGGGCATACTGGAAGTTGTAGCACTTTGTTCTAAAAATGCCCAGGAGTGCACTGCAAAAGATAACCAATGGCTCCTGTGATGCAGAAGAAACATGGACATGAGGGAATGCATGTCCACCTGGAAAAGGGCTACCTTCACAAGCTGCACAATCCATTTACACCTGAACACTTTGAGAATCTGGACCCTGTCTGTACCTTCTGATACCTGAGGTGCAGAGGGAGACGGGGAGGGAAAGACAGAGGGAGGCAAGGGCTATCTCAGTTGTGGTGCATGACTTGTAATCAGTTCTGTTGGGAAATTTCCTTGGCCTTGTTGCTGCCTGCTGCCTTCCATTTAGTGGGATCATGGAAAGATGAGGGGAGAGCCTTTTGGCGATTAATTTGAATTCACTTAGGTTTTCTGATGATGCTGAGGGCTCCACTTTACCACATTTTATTGTTGTTAGTTTGATAATTCTTGTTAACCACCTTGGAGAACTTTATAAGGCTGGAATATAGGAGATGAATATCCTCTCCTATCTTCCAGAGAATTTGATCTCCTTTGGCCATAACGGTCACAGGTTTAGGGCACTAGCAATCAATTTATAGCACAAGCTGGCAGAATTTGATGGAGCTCCACTCCCAAAACTGATTCCTCACACATTCCTACCTAGGGGATCAGGAAACTGGACTTGACATCTTTTCTGGGGAGCAAGTTCCTCCCTCAGCCCTTCAAGAATCGTTGGTGCTTGCTTCTCTGTGCACCCATTTCAAAGTAGTGCAAGTGTACTATGGCTGTTTTAATCCTGTCGATTTCTGTGCATCATGCAATTCATTCAAATTACATGGAACAATTTGCAGTATCTTCTACCAACAGTGACATTGGCTAGAAGCATTATAATTGACATTTTCTTTAACCATTTAGTTCTTGAGACTTTTAGACACAAATGCCCCAAATTGTGTGGCAATTCAAATTACCAATAGGAATGGATTAAGGTCATGCAATAAACATTTAAAGCAGTCAAAGCAGGCTACTTTTAGCCGTGTTGAATGGACATGCAATTCTAGCTTGTCCTTGTAGCAATAGAATCGATGTCTGGATTAACTAGTGATGCAAGAACATGAATTTGTGAAACCTTCCTTTAGCTTGGCTCAGCTGGAGCTCTTCTGCTAACAGTCCCAAGTTTCCATCTTTAGAAACTGAGGGCAAGGCATCCTTGATAGTGACCCACATCTATGGAACATCTTACGCTCCCTGCTCTGACATAGGTCCAAGACTCATATTTTTAAGATGAGTAATGCTAGTATGCATGGAAATCTTAACTGCTAAGTTTGGCCATGTGTCTCTTATTTTTGTGTTCATGATTAGTTGCATTTATTATGAACATGTGCCCAGTAGCTTCAGGACACTGTAGATACATTAGAAATAAATTTTCTAAAAATCTTGCATAGCTGAACTAAATGAGCATCTAGACATTTATTTTTCTTAGTAAGTCATCTCTCTCTAGGCTGTTACCACTTTAAAAGAGGGGAAAAAACCACTTCCTTAGATTAATTGCCACTAAAAAGGACAGTTAATTGGACAGTAAGTTGTATGGATAGGTGAAGATTCATCAAGCATGCCTCCACTTTGATTGAAGGTAAAGGTTTCCCCAGGACATTAAAGTCCAGTCAATGTCTGACTCTTGGGGGCGATGCTCATCTCTGTTTTCTAGCCAAGGGAGCCAGCATTTGTCTGCAGTTTCCGTGGTTATGTGGCCAGCATGACTAAACACTGAGGTGCACGGAATGCTGTTACCTTCCCACCAAATTGGTACCTATTTATGTACTTGCATTTATATGCTTTCAAACTGCAAGGTTGGCAGGAGCTGGGACCAAGCATGGGAGCTCACCCCGTCTGCAGATTTGAACTGTCGACCTTTCGATCAACCAACTCAGCAGTTTAAACCACTGTGATTAGCATGGGGTAAATTTGAATTAATAATACACTCTAGGCATATCCATCATGTCTAGTTTTCCATACATTATTTTAAAAAATCAACAGTGGATGGATTCAATTTACTTTCTAACAGTATAGAATGTCAATGTGTCTCTACCCTTATCATCCTATAGCTCTTACAATTACTTTTGGAGCTATGTCCCCTGTTTTGAGTTTGTTTTCTCCTTTTCTCAGACAGAATCCTAATCAGTTCTGTAGGCTAAATATACTGCCAGACTTATTCAGGCAGTTAAGAAAAAAATTGAAAATGCAAGCTGCTATGGATCAAGTGACAGTCAGCTAATTAGTTAGTGGCAGTAGCTCTCCAAAACTCTCAGGAGGAAGCCTTGCTAAAGCCCCTATTTTACTGAAATGCTGAAGACTGAACCTGGGACATTATATATGCGAAGTTTGCTCCACTCCTAGAGCTGAGGATCAGACTAGATGGCCCGAGAGACCCCTTCTGACTCATGCTATATATATAATTTTTTAAAAAGCTTTAGCTCTTCCCCCTGTACTTCCACTACGACAGTGGAACCAGCTGCCTGGAGAGGTGGTGGGCTCTCCCACACTAGAGACAGTGAAAAAGAAATTGGACAGCCATCTGAGTGGGATGGTGTATCTTGGTGTCCTGCAACAGCAGGGGAGTGGACCCGATGGCCTTCATGGCCCCTTCCAACTCTACTATTCTATACATTCCAAGACATTTCATATGCCACCTTTCCTCCAAAGAACTGCTTTATGGTTTTTTTCCTGGTATGCAACATGAACTTGATATATCTACAGCTATGGTCAAAACATGGGTGCATTAGCAGGAAAGGAAAAGAGAAGAACCCTCAAATTACCAAACAGGCCATGGGCTGTCTTCTCTAACAAGCCATGCCTCTTGGGTTTGAATGACATACGTAACCAGTTGTGCTTGAGTGGGCAATTAGGCAAATGGTCCCTGCCATGTACCAGCTACAGAAATTGTGTGAACCAGGCCTCACTTAGTTTGACCCTGGATGTCTCCCATGTGCTATGCTCTTCCACTGTTAATTGAAACAAACACATTAAACATGTTAGGTTTTTTATTACAGAAAACCAGCCACACTGTATACAAATTTGTAAATACATATTTCTCACTACTATATACATTTTGAAGCACAATATACACACATTTACGTCTAATTGGGAAAGTTGTATTTGTTCGAGAAACAACAGAAGGCATGATTCAAGAAACAATAAAAGGAGTTAAAAAGAGCAAGTTAGTTTGCTGCTTGCCGTTTCCGTGAAGTCTTCTCTCCTGTACCAATTACTGTGCCACAGTTCCTTTCCTTCCCAAAGCCATCACCGGAAGTTTAATAGCCATATTTTGCATTCAGATGAGTTCTGCCATCACCAGTCTGACCTGCTTGACAAAGGGGAAAAATTAGGTGTTTGTTTTTTCTGCTTATGCCGTGAAAACTATATCCAGGGAATACAGACAGACAGACAGACAGACAGCAAAATAACTGCAGATACTTTGGATACCACATATAACAGCCTTCTTTTGATATGGAATTAATAAAAACTGGCAGAATAGAAGTAAAACATTAGCACAGGATAAAGATTTTCCTGAAGCAAGATTCAGCAGAAGCTGACTGTTATGGCTATACCACAGCCCAAAGACTATCTCTAATACAGGGAGATGGTGATTTATTTAGAATAGGTTTGCTGGGCATCATCCAGGAAAGAGCCATTCATAGTGGATGAAGTAGGTATTTTACAAGGTTTTCAACAATCATTTTGCAGTTCTTTAGATTGCTTATGGATCAATCACTGAAGTGGCAGGACTTAGAGGGCAGGAATTTAATTGACAATTTTCACAGTGGAGGAAAATAAGCCATGTAATCTTCCAAGGATTTGGGACTGGTGTTATTTATTGTATCAGTAATGGGATCTGAACTAGCTGACTGTCAAGTTATGGTGGAAAATTCTGGGCTGCTTCATATAACCCATTTTTAGGTGTACAGTCAAGAAAGCATTAAATGTACATCTAAGATGTCAACTATGAATATTACAAATATCTAGGCACACTAATCTGATCGCTATCCATTTGACTTCAGACCTGACTTGGAGAATGAAACTGTCTTGTTTATACTGGTGGACTACATTCCCTAGGAGAATAAAGTACTAATATGATAAGTGTCAATTCTCTTGTCTCTGTCAGCTGCTTTTGACCCCACAGCTGAGTTAGGGGTGGTATTTATACTCTTGTTCATGTAGATCCCAGATGGTGCTGTTGGGGAAAATATTGTTATTGCTATAGGATTTGGCCAATATGATTCAAAGTTCAAATGTTACTTTTCTGAATCTGCACAAAAGCACCGAGAGAGTCCATCTGGTGATTTGAGGTGAAAGGGCAATATGCTGATAACACTTCATTTTATTCTTTCTTTGCAGAGGAGCTAGTATAGTGATTGAAGTTTTGTGTCAAGCTTGCCTCTTTAAAACACTGGCAACTAAACAGGGGTTACAGAAAGGGTGAGCTCCTTTATGTCAGCAGGACGCAAACTCAAGTATGCCCAAGAGGGCCCATGGATCAAAATTCTTAGTAAGCTCACAATCTAAAGAGGGACTTATAGTTTAGTGGGAGATTCTAAGACAAGCTCCAATAGTCATGGGCTTCAAGGCAGGGTTCAAGAGTAATTCAAGCAAAGGGGTGTCTTCAACCAGTGATACTGTAACTTCTTATGTCTCTGTGCCAGCTTTTGTGAGGGAAGGGTGACTAGGGTTCTTAGTCAATCTAGCCCTATGAGAAACCCCATCTAATTGGGAGATTTCCTCTTGTTTTATGAGCTGCCAGCACTGCTTGGGAGACAGTCTTGGGCATGCTTTCCCCCTTCATTTGAATCTGAGTGTGAAGAATGTTCCTCACTTTTGGGGAACCTTTTTCAAAGTTAGCTCTGGTTGCTGTTTAGAAGGAACTGCTGCCTCCTCCGGCTGCATTCTTCTGAGAAACCAGGCAGAGATCATTTCCCATAATGCAGATATCCCATAGCGTGACTAGGCCCTAAAGCAGATTCTTCTGTTTCTGATCGGAGTCCTATTCTGAGACTGCGGCACCTGGGGGAGGCACAACACTTTGTGCTAACAGGAGTCGGACTGGAAATGTAAGAAGGTGGGGCCTGATCTTGTGTTGGCAGATTTCTGATGAGGGACTGTAGCATAATTGTCCGAATGGTATGTCAAGTTCTGGGATATCTTTGGACTTGCAATTATTCCTGGAATTGCACATAAAGATCCTCTAATAATTCGATATTCTAGAAAATCTAAAAGAACCTACGTAGACCAAGCTGCTTAGAACAGCCGGAAGGGGCAGAGGAGTATCTGTGGCATGAGGCTGGGAAATTCTCAGGCCAGGTGAATGCATTTGGGAAGCAGGACTTCCAAAATCTTCTCATATGTTTGCAATGTTGGTCCTTCATCTTGTTCAGTAAGATAATAATTCCACTAATTATCCTTAAAAGTTCTAGATGCTCAAAATACAAGATTATTCCATCCAGAAAACAGCTTGCCTCCAATACAGATTCTGAAGGGTATTGCCTTCTGTCCCTGTCCCAGCTTAAAAATTAGCCCCAGAGAATACTAACCAATGCAGGGAGAGACAGGAATGATTTAATACAGAAATATTTTGGAATCTGTGTAACTTATTCATAATGAGGGAGAAAGCCAGGGTTTATTAACACAAAGCAAGCTTAGATCTTTACTCTGCTAAAACAATTTCTGCTTGTTACACACAGAGGTGGAATGCAGATCTTTCATATACTGAAATATAAACACTACAAGTAAACCTTGTGTTAATTTGCTTTCATTAATCTGTTTCAGAATTATTTGATGATGATGATGATGTCATCATTCCCAGTATTAGCTGTGATTGCACTACACACCCATTTCATTTTAACAAGTTGCTGGAAGATCATAGGATCAGAATATCGCATTAGTTGTCATGGTATGTGTTTAGTCTAAGTTGAAACTAAGGCAAGAAATGAATAGTGCAGCAGTATCTAAGCCAGGTTGCACCATGCAAATGATGATCAAGAAGCCACCCTATACTTCATGTGCAAAAGATTCTTTTCTCAGCTACCAAGGTCTCACAAGTTCTCATGGGCTTAATGTAGGTCAAATTCAATTAAGGAGACTAACGATATCCCCACATATTACCTTCTGGTGGCATCCATACACAGTAGTCCGGATCATCTTCTGGATAGCTTGAGGACAGTGCGTGTTGCTGGACCTGCCAAACAGAATATGTTTTGGTAAGTGTGGGGAATGAATAAGCCCAAGGCAGAGTATGGAAAATATTATATAACTAGTAATTCCACACAACTGGCTGTTTCACTTGCAGTGTCAGCTCATAGTTTGGAATTTATGTTTAAATGTGGTTTATAAGCTAAATATTGACCAAGTTTGGATGACACAAAGCAGCTTCTCATGGGCCATTTAACTCAACACAAACTGAACCATCACAGACACCAGGTTGCATATTCAAGCCTCACTTGTGATGTCATGCAAATTCAGTAAGTGTGAAGTATGTGAGGGTAAAATAACTCTTGCATAATGCTAAAATAGATCATAATGCTAATAGTTCTTTAACCCTCAGATAACCCAAGTAAGAAGGGGCTGCATATTCAAAATGGAGGCTGCACAACAGCTTTGCCACAAATGAGCTGTTGTGTGAATTGCCTCATTGTTTAAGAAAAATTATAAGTTTGCTCAGTTTGGATGCAATATCAACGTATGGTTTTGCTCTAACTGAGAAGTTGGGGAGTGCACAAAGCAAGAAAGGGCCATGAGAGTCTGAAGTCTGGTTATGTGGCACCACTGTTATTGCAAAGTTTAAGTTTCTTCTGTTAGATGAGTCACTAAAATGCTGATCCTGGATGAGTCTCTGTAATATTAAGGTTTCATTAAAACTTGGATTTTGACATGGGTGAGGTGTCTCTGAGCAAATAAATAGTTTATGGTAGGTGTTTGGGGAGCATAAACACCAATTATTTCAGTCTGCTTCTAAACTGTATTATGACAGGATGTAAACTGCCTTGAGAACCTATTCAGGGCAAAAGGTGGACTATAAACTGGAAGCATTTTTAAAAATGTCTCCCCGCAAAAAGTCAACTTTTCTGAGAATATTTTCAGCTTTGCATGAGAGTGTAAAATTGTACTGGACTTCCTAAAGCAGACAATATGTGATTAGATAATAGGTAAGAGGTTTATAAAAGTATTTTATTGATACCCATCTATGTATAAAACAAGGAAAGCTAAGATATCCATTGACACCTAGTAATGGGGTGCATAAGATACCAGACAAATACTTTACTTCAATTTTGCAAACAGGCACTGACCAATTTGTTTGTTTTACAAGGGATGGGCACAGAGCCATACATGACTTCTCTAACACTGGCTGTAAATTCCATTAGGTGAGAAAGGTAATCCATTGGCAGGTTTTACCAAATGCAAGGTATCTGGAGCATAAATAAGTGGAATTATTCTTATACATTTTATGAGTGATTCTATAATTTCCAAAATGTCAGCATGTATTTCATTTCAATAAGCATAACTGCATCTCATCAACAGCAACACACTTCAGCATCAGATTGACAAAGATAATTCTTGTTCAAAGAAACAATAAATAAGTTTGGAATTCAATAAACTAATGTTAACAACTTCCTGTTTGGCTGCTTGTTTTTCCAACTCACCTTACTACTTGTGCTGTTAGCTTTCTTATCCCTGGGCTTTTCTGCATGCTTTTCAGATACTAGGAAATAATAGTGGGAAAAACTAGATTAATACTTTAAACTCTTAATTCCTTAGAAAGAATTCACTAGTCAAACAAATATGAAAGGTCAAGGGATCCTCTATGTAGGAAGAGTATTTACTAGTCAGGGATTCATTAAATAGAGCACTGTGGCTCCTCTGTGTCTTGAACCCAGACTGCACACATCTCAGCCTGTGTATAATTCTCAGATACGGCCAGGGTTGCACATTCACAGGGAAAAGATGCCACAGCCTCCTTTCCATGCCCCTGTGCATGCTGGTTGCACACTGCATTTTGCACAGTGGTACTTGTGTTGAAATGTCATCCAAACCCAGTGAACAACAGGGAGTGGATTCCAAACTTTCCAGAGCCCTACAAGAAGCCATGGGTTATGGTTTGGAAGGCAACAGGAGTAAAATTAGGGAAATTGGGGGTCATGTAACCAGCCTGGATGGAGAATCACAATCACAATTCTTGTGATTGTGGAAACTGAGCAAAATCTTTTCAGAAAGAAAAAGTAGCAATATATCACTAAACCAAGCAGAACTTGCTGTTTTTTCTCTCTGACTAGAAAAGTTTGAATTTCTAGGTAAGTGCCCAGTATTATAAGACAGCCATTGAAAACAATGTTTCATAAACAATGTTTCGTCTAGTCACCTTCTAAATTGTGCAGTTCTTTGATCTTGAATGTACATTTTTAAGCATAACTTCTTTTAAAAAGCACAAAAGTAAAGGAACTGGACACACTTATCTTTCTGCTTTCTTATATTGTTACACGTTAACAGAGTCAAAAGCTATTTCTTCAGCTAGTTGAGCAACATATAAGCATCTGGATTGTCCATTTTTTCATTTGCTCAACTAAAAACACTGGCTGCTGCATTACAATCGGACTGTGCAACAGCCTAGTAGTACATTAGTGCTCACCTTGTGGTTGCTTTTGCAGCTTATTCAATGGGGGAGAGCTCTCTGGTGACACAGTCTCTTTGTTCAGAGGCTCAGATTTTCCTACAAAAGTAAAACCCAGAGATTTCGCTAATCAGATTTCTCAATGGCCACAGAGCTAGTAACATTAAGATCTAGAGAAACTGGAAGAAGTCAACACTGAGCTGCCTTTCCTTTGTCTGAAGTATAGCAATTCTATACTATACGACATGGGTGGGCTGAGAATAGATCTCTAGATGTTTGGGACTTCAGCTCCCAGCACTCCTGACCACTGGCTATGCTGGCAGGGGCTTCTGAGAGTTGGCACCTAAAACATTTTCAACTGATGAAGTTGGAATATACTTGCTTGCCACTGGCCAGCTGGGGCAGAAGGGAGCTGTTGGTGTGGGGCGGTGGGGGCAATCAGAATGAGTAAGACCTGCCCTCTACTCCCACATCTTTCCTCCAATGCACCTCAGTTCAGCAGGATTTCTGGATCAATTTGTCCCCCCAAAGTTAGACCATTTATCTCAAAAAGGTGTGAAGGAAATTTTCCCCATGCATGTGAGTCTCTATACTATGCCTCATCTTTTGCACCGTTCTTTAAAAATGCTGGTTGGGATTTAGGTACTTAAGGAAATGAGTACAATCAAATATAATGGTTGTCATCTTAATAATTTAAGAGCTGCAAAACAATTAAAATGTAGTAAAGTTGAAAATGTGAGAGAGTAATTAACCGTCATGAATGAATTCCATGTCTTGGTTGCTGTGAGAATAAGAACTGGTAGGGAGATTCTCTTGTTTAATCATTTCTTGTGCTGTACTTTCCATCTTTGGGGTCTGCGGTCTTTCATTTGCAGCCTTCATTTCCACCTCTTCTTCCTCTTCCTCTTCCTCCTCCTCTGGCCCGTCATCTTTCATTTTTAATAAGTTTACAGGCACATCCGGACGCTTCACAGGCAACTTCTGCACAGCAAACAAAAACCACAACAAAAATTGTTATATTACCAAGTAACACTAATAAATAAGAAGTATAGAATGCCATGTCATGCAACAATTTGCTTTTTGAGGAGGAATAATAAATGTTTGTTAGACTTCTACAAACATCTAGAAACATGAATAGGCTTTCTCAAGAATTCAAAGGCTAAACTGTTCCTGTAGAAAGTATGCAGTTCCTATGGTCAACAGGAGTGATGGGATCCAGATAACTCTCGATCGTGAGCATAACACAGCTAAACAAGCATGTCTAAAGTAGTTCAGCAATGTAACCCACAACCCCCTCCTTCCAACTTACCCCTACAGTTCCGGTTTTCAGTCTGAATTTGCTTCCCCCTTTCATGGCACCAAATAGGGGTAAAGTTAACTTTTTAGGCTTGTTTTGTGTTTCTGGATCTTGACCTGCAAGCCTACAGAAGATTAAAAAAGGTTGGGGAATAGAGAGAACACATAAAACTTCAGTATCAAACCTTGAAGGATCAGTGCTTGAACTACAACAGTGCTTTGGTTTTCATATGGGAAGTCCACATTCCATATCCCACTCAGTTGCTGATTTCATAGGGAGCCCTTGGGGCAAGTTCCTATGCACTTCATCAGGGACTGATCACAGGACTCTACGCTTCCCTATGTGAACTTAAGAAGAGTCATGGTGGATCAGACAGAGGATCCATCTAGTTCAGCATTCTGTTCACCAGTGGCCAATCAGCTGCCCAGAGAAAGCACAGGCAAGACACGAGTGCAAAAGCAATCACATCCGTGTTCTATTCATATTCTTCAGCAACATAAACGTTCTTCCTCTGATACTGGGAGATAGCACATAGCCATGAGGACTAGTAACTCTTGACAGCCTTCTCCTCCATGAATTTTTCTAATCCCCTTTTAAAGACATCCAATTTGGTGGCCATGACTACTCGTTGTGAAAGTGACATCCCTAATTTAACTATGCACTGTGTGAATGAAGTACTGCCTTTTATATAACCTGAATTAGTTACATGAGATGACTCCAAGAGAAAAAATGCCTTTCTCTCCATTTTCAACTCACCATGCATAATAACGCCTCTGTATTAAGTCTTCCTTTACTTGCCTTTTTTCAGCAATCCCAACTGTTGTAACCTTTTCTAATAGGGAAGTTGTTCCATCCTCATAATCATTTCAGTTACCTTTTCTGAATTTTTCCCAACCCTGCAATATCCCTTTTTTACACCCAGGGACCATATCTGTACAGAGCATTCTAAGTGTGGCCCCACTGCAGATTTGAAGAAGGGCAGCATAATACTGGCCATTTTATTTACAATTCCTTTCCTAATTATGCCTGAAATGGAATTTATCTTTTTCACAGCAGCTGCACACTGGCTTGCTATCTTCCATTGAGCTATCTACCAAAGTCCCAAGGTCTTGTTCTTGGTCAGCTGCTACTACCTCAGTTATATGATCTTTTTCTTGAAACTGGGTTTTTTTTCCTCCTCAACAGGTTTCACTTTACATTTGTTTACACTGAACTGAATTAACGATGTTGATGCCATTTCTTCAATCTGGATTTACCCTTTTGCAATTCATTTTTTAACCAGCCTAAAAATCTGGTGTCATCAGCCATGTCACTGCTCACTTCTAAGCACTGGTCCCAACACGAACCTCTGTGGGGTCCCACCATTTCCTTCCCTCCAATGGGAAAATTTACCATTTATACCCACTTTCTGTTTAATTTGTTACTGATCCATAAAAGGACCTCTCCTCTCAATCCATGACTGCTAAATTTGCTCAAAATTCTTTGGTGAGGGCCTTTGTCAAAAGCCTTTTGGAAGCCCAAGCCCATTCCCCATCAAGCATAAACTCCTGTCCACCCTGCCATTCATCATTATGAATTCATCATTATCATTAAGGGTTATGTTGGTTCTGCTGTAACTATGATTAAAGCTAACCATGGCTGCATCTTAAGTTGAACTTGAAACCAGTTCTTTGTAGTTGTGTTGCAATGCCATATCATGCCTACTGCACAAAGAACAAATTATGAAGGTGACTTTTGGTAGTTAAAATGGCAAAAGACTACAGCTCAAAAAGGATAGGCCACAATTGCTGGTACAAATTAAACTCACTGAGATTTCAGCTCTGGCATTGATGCTGGTGTAACAATCTTAATCAATCCTTTCAATCTCTGCTGCTCCTTCTTCAGTTCAAAGGTCCGCAAGTGAAGCTTTTTCCGTGTCATGCTGTCTAAGGCACATCCTGATCTTATTTCTGTCATGAATTCATCCAAGGAATCCTGAGCTGGCGACTGCGATTGTGCTAGAGAAATATATAAAATAGTGATGGTGTTCAAATCTCTGGATAATATATAATCCAAGTTGTAGTAACCAACAGGGTACAGAGCACATCAGTGAATACTCAAGAAAGCCATGGGAGGACAAGAGTGTCACTTAAAACCCCGACTGTCCACATTACCTCAAATTTAAAATTTAAAACCTTCAACCAACTATTAGTATACCCAAGTATTCATATACCAATTCTCATTAAACATTCTTAGCAATATATACACCCCCATTAATAAAAAAACTAGACTCAAGCTTGAATTTTTTGATCTAACAAGAGGATTTGGGAATACATATGGTTTCAAAAGGCTACTAATAGTGAAGTCCTATACATGTCAAATTAGAAGTCTCATCAAATTCAGTGGGTCTTACTCCCACAGAAGATTGACTAGGATCACAGTTTAAGTTAAACAAACAGAAATGGCTTAATTCTCTGGCCCATTATGCATACCATTAGAAGGTACAACTCTTCTTCAGGTGCAGCTATCTCATAGAAAGGGTGCTGATATAGAAAGGAAGTAGCACCAGGAAATGTCCAACATGCAAAGGAGAGAATGGAAGGGGGAGTGAGGAACTGGAAGTTCATGGTAAAAAATGTGCAAATCACTTTGACTTATGGAAGTTTCTCCCAGAAGGAAAGCATGTTTATCACTAGGTGAAATTTGAACACTCATCCTTTTTTGCAGAAATGAATTTGTGTATTTATTTGACCAGCTTTTTTTTTAAAGGCAAGAAACTTAAGAATTTTAATCATGTTGTTAAATTGCTTAGTCTTTCATTTATGGGAGGATGACAGAGTAAAATATCTTTACCATTTCTGCAATGAACATATCCAAGATAATAAATTTTCCATTGTTAAGAGCCATTAGTTTATGTTTAAAAGGCCTCTCTAAAATCCAATGAGGTGTTTTCAGTTTCTATCCTGTGTAAAACATGTTGGACAATTAATTCCTTGAGCAGCAACCATGCAGTCATATATGACAGCAAAGACTCTGAGGCAAAATACAGCACAAGCTTGTTCCTCAAGAATGGTTATCTTGGAGTCATAGAAACACAGAAACAGAGATAGTCAGAAGGAGCCTCCTGGCCCTTCTGGTCTGACCCCCAGCTCCAGCCAGCTCCACTCATGACATGCCTACCGTGTCATGAGTCCCTGTCATTGCTTATCCTACTGCAGCTATAGCTGACCTACAGGACAGTCCTCTAAGCTGAAACCCTACAGTAGCTGAGAGGACTACTACAAAAACTTAAGAATTCCTGTATCATTAAAAGAACCTTTCTCTTTCCCTGTAGAGAAAGAGGACAAATATTTGCCCTGATCCAGATGCACTCTCTTTCCACAGAGCAGTTCTGCCAACTATGATAAGATCTAGTGCTTGAGCAACAGAGCCTTACTCCCTATACCTCCTCCCGTGGTGGCTTGTGCATAGGACAATACCCCAAGGAGTGTCTGCCCATGCAGGAGAGCAGACTGAGAAATAATTAGGACCATGAAACACAGAAGGACATTTGCTGAACTACAAACTGAAGGGCTGGGTCAGGTGCACAACCTCGTCCCAAACAAACCCTGCTGTGAAGATCTCCTTTTCTTGCATAATCAAGGAAGGCTTTCATTGTCTTTTTTGTAATCATGTGTCCCAAGTTCTTGAAATTCATATCTGTAGAAGATTTATTTCCTTGGAATACATGCTTCATATTAAGTTACCCTACACCAGCTTAGCTATCAAAAATACTTATTAAGAATTGAAAGATTGATCTCTTTTTTCTTATACAGCTGCAGTCAAAAGATGTTTCATTAAGCGGAACCATCAGAAGTCTATTTAAAAGCATTTTAAAGAGCAGTGCACAAGCTGTCTTAATGTTTTTCTGACATTCACTTAATCTCCACAAGTACAGAGGGAGCAAGGGAGGGGGAAAAATGCAGCCTGTCACTCACTCAGCTGTCTCTGAAAAAAGTTACAGCGGATTACACACAACAGCAGAGACCACCCAATGTAATGACAATGATAGTTATGGCCAACTTAACTATTTCAGTCCTCTCTTACCTGCCAACGTGAGGGACAAGACATACCAATTTAAGTGACGATAACAATTTAGCGACCACTACTGGACTAAAGGATATTACATTCCTATATTTTTCTCCTTGAAAGTTATGGTCCTGTATTACCCCTATCTCTACTCTGTGCCGTCAGTCAGGCTTTTCTTCCAAGGAAAAGGGCTTGCTTACATGGGATATAAGAAGGGGAAAGAAGCTGACTGAGCAAACATCAACAGCAAAATAAATCTATGGAATATTAGCAGCACCACCACCATACCTAGCCCCAGATACATTTGATACCACAATCTCTGGAGCAGGAAAGCATTCCATTTACAGCATTGCGAGCACAGTGGCAGGAAAAGATATTGCAGAAGCATGTTTTAAAAACATAAACACAGGGACCCTTTGCATCCCTGCCTTCATCCTTTACTAAATAAAGAGAGGACCAGACTGAGGCACTGCCACCTAAGGTCTGGATCCTCAGTCTTTGAAGTTCCACTGTAGCCTATGCATAAAATGACAGATAGCAGTGCTTCTAAATATAGTTGTGCCTTCCTTTGAAAATTTGCTAAAGGTGAGTGGGTGGTCCAGTATCTGTACAAATTTACATTTAATTAGAAAGGTAGTGAAGAAAACAAAAAAGCTGTTGTGAATTTGGCATGGCAGCCTCTTCAAAGGATACAGAATAATGAAAATTCACTAGGCTCAGTCTCTACCATGTATTAAATTAGATATATCACTGTATCTTGAGCAGAGATTTCTAGAAAGCCCCCACACTTTTAGCATTCTACAATTATATTAACAAAAACAACAAGATAAAATAAGTGTCTCTGATCTTTCATTCGTTGCTCACTGTTGAGACAAATAAATCTGCAAAGTTCTCCAAAAGGCCTACATCCATCAGCTGTAGTACTCCAGTAGGTACGCCCTGACCATAGGAATCTACTCTGCTTGTTGTATGAGTCCCCCTTTGATCTTATTTTAATTTCACTCTAAATTGTACAAGAACCTGTATAACATACATATACACTCATTATCTGGTTCACACTCCCCAAAGTTTACATTTAAAAAAATGGGCTTACTTGTCTTTGATGCTTTCAGCTTTTCTGCTATTTCAGAAAGTTCTCTCTCAGTTGCATTTAATTTTGTAACCTATAGGGGAAAATGGACAATTGAAAAAATATGTGCAACTAACATAGATTTACAAAACTTGTAAAAGTACAACCTGGCTGTGGCTTGCCCTCCTTGATGAGGCTTGACTGGCATTAACTGTATTGTTCTGAGATACTACAGCCCCTCTTTTCTTTAAGCAAACACTATAAATATTTAGAGAATTTAAACATGGCCTAGCCAATTTAGAGAGCCACTTTATGCAGCTAACAAAGCAGGCTCTATCTCACAAAAGCTGATTTGCTAGTTGTGTGTGTTTTATGTTTTTAAAATTTAGAGTAATCCCAGGTCATTTATTGTTTTCGCAACAACACAGTAATATGGTTACTCAAGAAGTTGTCACAAAAAGACTAAAATGATAGTAGAAAGGTATCTTCTTTCCCTTCAGTAGCAGCAAATTTGTTTGATGATAAAATATGATATGAAATTATATTCTATTCTGGCTAGTTATCTGGAGAGTTGGGAATAAATCCGAGGAATCTGCCAGACTTTGGGCTTACACTGGAAAGGATCAGAAGGTGGCAAGACATTTCGCTGTTTCCCAATCTGAGGTCACTGAGATGCCCTTCCCCTCCTCCAGGGGAACCTAGGTGGGAAACTTAGGTGGCCTTGCACTTAGCCTCAGACATGTTCAATAAGCAGCAAGAAGACATTGCTTGCTCAGCCTCCACTCCACCCTCCAGCAGAGAGGGGGACCTGCTGCTGCAGTTGTGCCGCACCTTGAACGTGTTCAGAGCTTGGAGCAACATCACAAAATTCTATCTGACTACCAAGGCCAGTCAAACTTTGTGGACTGCTGACTGAAACTGTTCCTACCAATGAATCATAAGTTTCTGGTTTCTCCTCTATCTTTCCAGCTTTCTTCATTCTGTTCAACCGTTTCTGCTCAATAACTCCTGTCCGATCAAGGAATGTGTCATCATCACTATCATAGAAATCTTCTTCTTCCCAATTCTTTGCTTTTCTTTTTCGGGATACTAAAAAGACAAAAGATACAATAGTTTGAAACCAAAACTCCATCCATACTACTGATTTGCTGATAGTCAATAATTTAACCATGTCTAAAAGCAAACAAGAAATCAGGTATTGAATGGACATATTAAGTTGACAGTAAGTTGTTGTGAGAATAAAATGCAGTAGTACCATGCATACCACCCTGAGGTCATTGTAGACAGGATGAGATACAAATGTTCGGTGGTGACTGTGACTGTGTATTGCGTTTTATTTAAAGAAAAAAACACACACACATTATAGTGTTGCCTCACACACCATAGGTTTAAATTTACAATGCTTCTTGATAATAGAACAACTTTCTCAAAGGCTTGAGCCTGACCAGTTAGCATACCTGCCTCCTGCCGCAGCACACCCCTCGCATCCAGTATCCTGCAGGCTTCCAACGCACACTGGATCATTGCCTCCTTTTTCTTCCCTGAATGTACAGCCTCAGCCACAAGCTGCTTCCCTGAAGCATCATCTATTGGCAGTCTATTCAATTCAGAAGGGTACAGTACAAAACCAGGTCAACAATGGCCTGAAAGGTCCATTTAGTGTCTGCACTTGTGCTGCTCAGCACTGTGCCTCCAAACAGCCTCTGCCTCAGTGTCTATGAAGCATTGCGATAGCTAGGTAGCATTTTTAAAGACTTGTATGAAGAACAGAGCTGCAATGAAAGGAGGAAGTGGTGCTTCCGTAACACTTTCAGGAACAGGAAATACATAGCATAAAATGTAAGCTCTTGCCTATTCAGTGAGGACTTGCTTGCCATTGGTGACTTAAATTATTTTGGCCTAATCTGATTGGGTATGTGGCGTTATCTTATGACAGAACCCCCAACTGGCATTGCTCATTTAACTAATTAAGGAAAGAGATGCGGTATAAAGGAAAAATGGCACCTGAGCAACAGTGGAGATAACAGCAGTACACAAAGGGGTGCATAGGAGCATCCCTGAAGGGTATCTGCAAAGTGTCAGTTGGAGCGAAATGCAGCAGCTGTGCCAACTGGTGCACAATACAATGCCATGGCTTTCTTATAATGAAAGATACGTGTTGGTTGCCAGTTGTTTTCTGTCCTCATTTCAAGGGAGTTGGCCTTAAACTTTCTGGCTTTAAGCAGCTTAGGGCCTAGCTATCTGAAGGACTACTCACCTCATTATGAACCAGTTGCACTATTAAGATGTGTTAACAGAATTTCATTTGCTGCCCATACATGAAAGAGTTTTCTTCTGCATTTCTCTAAAACTATGGAGTGCTATGGAGTGCCTTCAGAGTCAAGATTCATTCATTCAGAGCCAAGATTCATTCTGGTTCTTTGGAATGTAGTTAAGATACACCTCTTTATTTTGGCATTTTAAATTGTAAGCAGTGGTTTTAATTTTTAAAATAGTTTTATTGCTTTTTATATTTGTACATCCCTTTGGCAACAGGACATAAATATTATAAATAAATGACAAGAGAACATTAGATTTAAGAAACTACTACTTATGCTTTCAAAGGATACCACATTTTATATGGTTCAGACACCACAAAATTGGCTGAACTGTGTTTAGGATTCTCTATTCCATTAGATAGGATTATAGTACTAATAATTAGCTATGTGTTGAAGAAAAGAGATGAAATTTTCTTAAAATATCAGTGACAATTATTTACATGTGTTGTGTATTACTTTGTTGTGAACAGCTTGCTGAAAATTTTTCAGTTTAAATAGTATAGACTGGAATAGGCAGGTGACTTTTCAGCTATCACTTGTATTCTGATGGCTATCTTGGCTTTCTTAAACCTTTTCCCAACACGCCGAGTGATCCCTGGGAAAAATAATTATTTAATACATGCATGGATAAAATCGGAACTTTTATTATGACTGATATTTATAGTGACAGTGGGATATTAGACATCAAATTGAACTGGCATAATCCAAGCACACTGTTTGCTTATTTGAAGGACAAAGTCCTCAGTTCTTTCCAAATATTTTTTTTCTTCTAGACACACATAGTTCAGGGGGGGAAATGAAGAACCACTGCAGTCAATACTGAATATCTGATAGTGCTAGAATGTAATGAAGCATAAATAAGGTTGCAATTGATTTTTGCACTTGCTGTTAGAGCTCAAATCTACCACCACCTTCAGTCTCTGAGAGAAATACTGAACTATAAAAATGTACTGCATAGTATACATACATACTTCACCCTGCAAAGCCAGATGCCTGTTCCATGGGTATCAAAATCATACTCTAATTCTTCACCTAGAAAAATCAAAGACAAAGGAGAGTGGGAATCAATTTATATGTAAACATTGCCAGAAGTATTTCCTCTCCAGTGAAATGTGTTACCTAATTGCATTCAGAAAATTAACCCGTATCTTCTTTCAGAATTAATTGCATGGATTAAAGTTTAACTGCATACTTAAGCTTCTGAAATGGGTGAGCTATCAATGATTCTAAATGTTTAAGTAGCTAACAGTTAACCACTGTTAACTATCCATAAAAGTCCACTCTAAACAACTTACAATAATGGTGATTCATTCATTAGTTAGCAATAAGGTCTTGAACTCATCTATCACTCTAATACCGGTGACATTCCTAGGGCTTATCCTGTTCAGTCCCATTCAGTCTGGTTGGTGAATATTGAGTTATTTAGTCAAAGCTTTATAAATGTTCAAGGTACTTTTAAGGCTTTGCACAGTTCAATAGATAATGCAGTGAAGCTTAATTCTGATAATGGAACTTTAGCTGACAACATAATGTACACTTTGGAAATGAATCATCTCCTAACCAATACCTAAGTTGAATTGCCACACATATTGTTTGCTATGAGTTGCAAGAATCTGCTAAGTAACTGCAATGCAGTATAAAATTCCCTGCTCTATAGACTAACATCTATCACAATCCTTCACATGTTGATTCAGGAGTCTCACTGTGTTCAATGGGGCTCATTCTAAAAATGTGTTTTAGACTGAAACCATTCTCATGGATACAATAAGGCAAACATGCTAAAAATACTCCTTTTTTCTAGCTTTACTTGGGCCATGGACCAGCTTAATACCTGGATGCCTGAAAGCTTATTTGCAAAACTTTTTATTGCTGTGCCAACTGTGATCTTTCCTGGAAGACAGCGACCTAGCCACTGTTACATGACAATTAGATGACTGAAACATGCTCTGTGCAGGGTATCTTTGAAGGAGATCTGGAAGCTGCAACAGGTGCCAGGATACTAATAGGGGCTTCTTATTCCAAGCCCCTACCTCCACAAGTTAGCAACATTGATTGGTTTCTAGCTGTTTCTAGGACCCAGTCAAACTGTAAAAATTCAAGTGGTTTGGGTGTTTAAAGGACCACCTGCCTATTAATCTAGGTAATCTTATTCACCCCGAGATGAGTCAGGGATCATCTGCTATGTGTCCCACCATCAGCAGTATGCTTTACTGAATACATTTTTGCTGCTCTTTTATATGGTGCTTCAGTATGGTGTGGTTTAAATAGCTTACTGAAAAATAAATGTATGTTGCTTTGGGGAGAGAGGTTATGACAAAAAGCAGAATATAATTTAAACCTGAAACAAACTAAAGAAGAGTGGCACTTCTTTGTTCTACTGAACACTTATAGTTGATGTACTCACGAGGACAAGCCGGACAGATAACACACATACCTTCTCGGTCAAAAAAACCTTGCAACGCCTTCCTTGGATCTTTCAAATAAAAAGCTTCTTGGTCTTCCTGAAACTCAATGGCGATTGGGTTTTCTTCACCTTCCTCTTCCTCTGCATCTTCCCCTAAAAGGTAAGTGCAAATCAAATCAGGAATGAAAGCAGAAGCTAATGACATAAAACCTCTAATGATAATTAAAGTAAAATGTTTCTGTATAAAATATATCTAGATTTGACTGAAAGCTCCTCCTCAGGTTCAGGCATTTTCTACCATTGTACAGTGGGGCTTTGGAAATGAGATGGATGATGAGATGGGTATACAGAAGGGTGCCACAATTAGGCTTTGTCATGATTTTTGTTACACCAAAGGAAAGTTGGCTCATGTCATTAAGATTAGAGATTGTTAGAACACTTCTATAGTCCTGTATTTCAGTTTTTTGTGCAGACAGCAACAAAAGAAAACTGTAAGAATAAACACGTGAATCTAGTAGAACAGAAATCTCGGGACTATTCTAAAAGCGAAATCCTGAATTTCTCATGAAGTAAACCAGTAGATGGCAACGTGTGGCTCTCCAGATGTTGTTGGACTGCAATGTGCCACTCATATCAGCAGAGAAGTTACAATCAAACAACACCCAGAGGACCATGTGATGCACATGCCTAGATTGTAAAGCAACCTTTCCGCAAACTGGTTTCCTACAAATTCTAAAATCCTCAGCCAGCAATCCTATCCTAGCTAGGAAATGTAATAATTTTAAGCTAACACATCTGGAAGGCATCAGGCTGAGGAAATCTGCTTGAATGGGTATTTTTTTCAGTGCATACTGGTTTCTCTTACATGCCCAGAATATCAGACATTAAGAATTGTGAGCTAATACTCATGTGTCTGTTTTAAAATAACAAATCAGATTTTAGGGGGTTTAAAATCCAATATTGTATATATTTTTTGTTCTTCCATCAATAAAGACCTGAGTTTTTATAATGAATGTATGTAATTAGTAATTAGAAGATTGGAACTTGGAAAAGCAGCAATGAAGAGACCAGAAAAGATCATCACACATAAGGATGTTCAACTAGAGACCAAGATTATCTACACTATTCTATTCCCAATCACTATGTATGGTGTGAAAGCTAGGACAGTACAGAAAGCTGGTGAGAAGAAAATGTATGTGTTTGAAACATGGTGTTGGAGAGAACTTTGCAAATACCCTGGACTGACAGAAAGATGAACAAGTGGGTTCTAGATCAAATCAAGCCAGAACTTTGCTTTCAATCAAAAATGATGAAACTGAGGATATTCTGCTTTAACACATCACTGGACAGCAAGACTCACTGGAAAAGACAATAATGTTATGCACAGTTGAAGGCAGAAGAAGAAGAGGGAAACCAACTGTGAAATAGACTGATTGCTTAAAGGAAGTCACAGCCTTAAGTTTACAACAGCTCAGCAGGGCTTTCAACAACAGGAGATTCTGGAGGCATTCACTCATAGGGTCATTGTGAGAAATGATTGCGCAGAACAGCAAGTTGATGTAAATATGTTAAGATGTTATAGTAACTGCAGTTTTAAAGCTAAAAGTATTTAAAGTGCTATTCTGCTGTAAGTTAGAACCAAACTGTGCCTTATTTAATACCCAGCTAGTTAAACAGAACATCCCTAGCATGCCCATGTTTGTCTGGAAAAAGACTTTCTGAAATGCTAGATAGACAATATACTGGAGTAGTGAGGCTTCCTCCATTTGTGCCCTAGTCCGTTTGTATGGCACAAAATCTGATCCATGTATCCAGATATTTCCCACTCATTTTCAACAAGTGAACATGTTTGCAATACAAATTTGTCCATCAACACTGCTTTATCATGTTGGGAGCATGAAATCAAACAGAATATGACCTAGGTTTGTGGGAGATAAGCTCCACTCGTAAGTAAAGGCAATCACATGCACAAAGCCTTCAGACAACCTTTTTGGTAACCCTATTATTAAGTGCACATGGAATCCATTGCAGTTAAAGGAAAAGATACAACTGCCAAACAAACTCCATGAACTTACACCACTAAAGAGTCTAGCGACAATATATTATAGCTTACCCATTCCCCAGGAACAACTCAAATCATTATTCTGAGTGTTTTCATTTCTCACTTCTGCCTCTTCCTTTAGATCTTCATCAGAGTCGTCACCCAGCATGGTCTTCTCTAACTTGGCTTGCTGCTGCTTACGCAGTTCTTTCAACTGTGTTACAGTCAGTTCTGATTCAGGTTCTTGATCTTCCTCTGGACCCTGTAAATTAAGTTACAACCTTCATATCAATCTGTCTGGGAAAAATGATTTTGATACAAACTTAAACATAGGTACACCAAATGAAGTCACCCTGAGTTCAGTGGGAATGACTTTCCAGTAACTGGAGTCCTATTTTCCTGAATATTATGGTACTGGGAAAAAGCACTATTTACAATACATATAGACTAGCTGATGGATTGATTTCATTTCCTTCTTTCTAAACCGGATGTTGTAAGCTACAACATATCTCCCTTGGCTAAAATGAAAATAATGGATATTTTTATCCCATTTGTACAGCATATATAGTAAAACAGCTAGATATTAGGTTGTATCCAATGGTGGCTTTCCACTGGTGAAATCCATTTCCATTCCTATAAATCAGAGCATCCAATTTTCTTGGCTCCCCATAAAGCTGTTCTCTAGTTCTGGTGGGGTAGCTCTGAGGGCTTCTGGAACAGCATGAAATATGGCAAAGAGGGCTGCAGTAGGCAGATAAGATCAACAAAAATTCGGTGCTACATCTTCTGCTCACATGATGCCAACACTGAAAAGAACCCAATAGCTGAAGACACAAGCTTTAACAACATTAAAAAGATCAGGCACAAGTTTGAGAAGCAAGCACACTGAGGATAACCTAGGAACTTTGTAATATCAGGAGATCATCCTCAGTCACTGATTTTTGTGCACTGTCCATTATTTTCTGTCTGCTTTCTTACAGGGCTTTTACTATGTCATTTTGATGAGCAGGGAATCATGAGAAGTGACTCTTAAACACAGACAGCATGTGTGTGTATATGCATAAATGTTGCATCAAGCTTTATTATAAGGCTCTCTAGTCCCTGACATCTGTTATCTCCACTAGTCATTTTCATGTACCTGCAAGTGCAATTCTAAATCTCCATGTTATACAGTGAGATGTCTAGTAAAAAGGAGATAGCATTGTTTGTTAAAGCTATCACATTGAAACTTTCTTCTGCCATTTCAAAAACAAAGCTGGGGATGTACAACACACACCTTTGAATAATCAATTGTACTGGCCTTCAAATACAGGAAACTGCCATACCTTATGAGATCAACAGTTAATCTACAGACTTCTCCATACTGATTTTTGTTAGTGGATCAGAGAATCCTCTCAATATGTCTAACTGTAAGAATATACTTCAGGCAGTACTCATCCTTTGCAAATCTACCAGGAGGTGAGGATAACCAAGTTACCAGGACAGGCTCTATACTTCACCTTGATGGATTTCCTACTTTAAACAAGAATGTTCCAGGAAAAATGGAGTGTCCAGGTTACCATCCACACTCCTGGTTATGCATCACATCAAAGCAGACCCTAACTTTTGCCTTTCTTGCTCTATTATGTGGTACAATACTTCAGATTGTTCTGTACGATGGACTTCCAACCAGTAAGAAGGGCAGTTGCTACCTGCACCTGTGTTTAGATCTGCTAACCAGCCCTTTACATAAATGATGCAAAGAACACCATTCCATCTGAAAGGCAGTACTTGCATAAGGAGAGATAAGATGTGGAAGAAAAAAAATCAAGCCAAATAAGTGCTTCCTTCATATACTACATTTAAGAACCATATTTAAGCATCACTTGAAAATTTTTGCAAGAACTTGCACCAGTCAAATTCAAACATGGTGTGTTTAGCAGATTGTTAGTGCATCCTCAACGTGCTTGCTGAGGAGTGAGTCCAACTGAACACAGTGGGACTTAATCAGAGTTGACACGGGATTATACAACGAAAGCCGCCATGGAAAGCACTGGCATCATCGTTTGCAAAGTGCACTTGCACACCAGAGTCCAAGGGATGTGTGACAGCCACATAAGCGCCCCCTCCACGGCCAGAGTCAGTCCGTCACCTGTAGGACGAAGAGGCGGCTGCTACCTCCGAAGCGCAAGACGTGGCCTACTCGAACCCGACTGTAGGTGCGGGGCGGGATTCGCGCTTTGTTCAGGAAGGTGCCGTGCGCGCTGTTCAAGTCGTAGACGTAGAGGCCGGGCTTGGGGGCCCCCTCCTCCTCCTCTTTCCCTTCCCCCGTAGCCTTCTCCCTATCCCCCGCGGGCGGCGGGCAGCGCTGGAGCACGGCGTGGTGCCGCGACACACACGGGTGAGCCAAGGAGACGTCGCAGCCCGGCGCACGGCCCACCATCAGCCAGCTCCGGCCGTCCAGGCTGACGCTGTCCAGCACCGCGCCGCCTTTCACCAACTCCAGGCTGTAGCCGGAGGGGCCCTCCTCTGCGGGGCAGCCTCCCCACGGCGGCTCCTGGTACTCCGGCAGTGCAGGCCGGCAGGGGCCCGGCGCAGGGCCTCGCGGGAGTTTCGGGGCCGGAGGCGTCGCCGCATCAGCTTCTTTTCCCCGAGCTGACGGGGCAGGCAACGACGGCGGCAGATTCGGCTTCTTGAAATCCTCCATCATCTCGGAGTCCTCCGCCATCTTAGTACATCCGCTTGTTCAGTGCTCCCCTTGGAAACCGCTGCCTCACTACTTTGGTTCCGGACAGCGCGTCACGCCTTTAAGGGCTCGGCCTGAGGTTTAGGCCCCGATAAGGTGTAGGAGGGTGCCGGGACATGGCTGGGTGAGGAGGGAGGAGGAGTGTGGTGGACGTCCCAGCGTGGAAAGCTGGCCAGTACTGTTCTTCCAACGAGGGAAAGCTGCACGTGGCGCACCAGTGGAGAACACAGAGACTGAAGGTTTCCTGGGGAGAGCGGCAGCGTTCGGCTGAGCCCCCGCACGGAACAGGACGGGCTGGTAAGGGCGCGAGCGGATAACCGCACCTTTCCTTAACACTCCCATCACGGGCATAAATGGCTTCACTCATATTGTTTGAAGCGTTAGAGCACTGACAGCCCGAGTACGCGTATTTATCCCACAGACAGACGGAGACCTACATTTCCCAGCATATCGCAGCCAGTCGTGCTGGATGGGTCATTATGGGAATTGCTGAACTTCCATCTGTACGTGCATGGTTTACAGTTGCAGTTGTACACTTCCTAGTTGGTTCGGCTATTTACTGTTTGTTCAGCAAACTAGAGTTTTAAAACGAGTGGGCAACCTTTTTGACTCCATGGCATATGTGGAGTTGTGAGTTAGGGGCTGCACACATACATGCTGGAGCACATGTACACACCACCCATGCAAATTCATCTCCTGACCCATCTCGTCATTCAGGAATAGGGAGGTTTAAACTTGCCCTCTCTGCCCATTGAGATCAGGATAGGGAATTACTAGGAGTGAAGGAAGGAGTTTAAATGGCAAGGAGGAAAAAGCAGTCTCTATGCGGGGAAGCAAAGAGAAGGGGTTTTAACCTTCTACCCCTTTCCTGACAATATTGGCCAAGATTGTTGTTTCTGCCATGCTAATAACCATTTCTGCATTGAATGGATTTGTTGGGCAGGGAGAGAAGCTTGGGATGCTATCCTATATATATCCTATATGCTATACATAGTCCCGCAACTCCCAAGGGTCCCCAGCTATGTGTGTTGGCTGAGGAAAGCTGGAAACTCTGGGACCTTTGTCCCAACCCAAACATGGCATAGGATTGTGCTTTTAATTTAGTTTCCAGCTACCTGCCCTGTAGCTGATTGCAGTTCAGCAGGGGAATGTGGGTAGGATAGCCCTGGTCTCTGTGGGCATGCTGTGTAGCTACATACCCACAAATTCCTATAATGTGGGTATCATGCTTTAAGGTCTTATCTTTAGCACATACATGTTTGGCTAAAATAGCACTCTGTAAAATAAGATCCTTCAGTGCAGCCCTCACCACCCCCTGAATTTTGGGAGGGACAAATCACATCCAGAGGTGCTGTGCAGCTCCAAAAGGATCAACATTTTCTTGTTTGCAAACAAATTTTGACCCTTTGGGGACTCCTTAACAGGTGTAGATTTCATTCTCTTTAAAAATTTTAGCCCCCTCCCCATTTTTTGGAACCCACAGGGATATGTGTGCAGCCTATGGGGCACATCCTTGGGGCAAAAATGCCCCCCCCGGGCTTCCTCAAATCATTCATTTCTGCTATAGAGCAAAATTTTTTAGGTTAGAAATGTTCATTTTCCAGGAAATCAACTAAACTTGTATCCTGTTAGGGGTTTCAACAGTAAATGAGAACTTGGAATAACACACTGTTGGATTTCTCCTGTCTCTTTCAACCCAGATCACAAAGCTCATCTTCATCAAGGAGACTACAGTCTCACTACTCTTCCCGGGACAGTCTCTTTGTAACTTGAAGATCTTCACTAGAAAGCAACCAACCAAGGAACTGAAAGATGCTGCGCTACTGGGGTGAGATCCCAGTTTCAATCAGTCAGGGCAACCGCAGCTCCTTTGACTTGCTTCAGCGGGAATTTCGTACTGTGGAGGTCCAGGATCCACCATTGCACCAGCCTTCAGCCAACAAGCCAAGGCCCACAACCATGCTTGACATCCCCTCGGAGCCCTGTAGTCTCACCATCCATACAATTCAGCTTATCCAGCACAAAAGACGGCTGCGTAGCCTCATTGCCATGGCTCAGTCTCAGAACCAGCAGCAAGTAGATGGCATTAAAATGGAAGAAAATGAACCTTTGCCAGCTTGCCCTGGCTCCCCACCTCTTCCTGATGACTTGCTTCCACTGGATAGTAGAATATCCAAAATGCCGTTTCATTTGCGGCACAGTGATCCAGAAAGTGACTTTTACAGGTGTGTGATGGGGTTCTCTTTGGGGTTAGTGCTCAGATTATGTTAGAAACATAGAAACATAGAAAACAGAATGAGTCAGAAAGGGTCTCCCGGGCCATCTAGTCTGACCTCCAGCACCAGCCGGCTCCACTCACGACATGCCCACCATGTGAATGTCCAGCCTATCCTTGAACACCCACACTGATGGGGCCTCAACGACCTCTCATGGAAGCCCATTCCACACCCTCGGGGTCCTGACTGTCAGGAAGTGCTTCCTGGCATCCAAATGGAACCTTGGCTCCCTGAGCTTTGCTCCATTGGAGCGTGTCCTGCCTTCCTCTGCAGGGGAGAACAGGTCTCTACCCATCTCCATGGGACATCCCCTCACATACCGGTATGTCGCCAACATATTCCCTCTGAGTCTCCTCTTCTCCAGGCTGAAGAGACCCAGTTCCCTCAGTCTCGCCTCATACGGCATCCTCTGCAAACTGAACACCAACCTTGTGGCCCTACGCTGCACTGACTCCAACCTGGCTATATCCTTTCTGTAATGAGGGGCCCAAAACTGAACACAATACTCCAGTTGCGGGCACACTAGAGTCGTGTAGAGTGGTAGTAATACCTCTCTTGATCTAGAAGCCACACTTCTGGCTATGCAACCAAGGGTGGCATTCACCCTCTTG